CATGAGGTTGTGGTAGACACATGGGAGTGTTATGTCATGCCTCATTGGGTTGTGGTGGACACACGGGAGGGGTAGGTCATGTCTCATGAGGTTGTGATAGACACACGGGAGGGGTAGGTCATGCCTCATGGTTTTGTGGTGGACACACGGGAGTGTTATGTCATGCCTCATGAGGTTGTGGTGGACACACGGGAGGGGTATGTCATGACTCATGAGGTTGTGGTTGACACACGGGAGAGGTAGGTCATGTCTCATTGGGTTGTGGTAGACACACGGGAGGGGTAGGTCATGTCTCATGAGGTTGTGGTAGACACACGGGAGGGGTAGGTCATGCCTCATTGGGTTGTGGTAGACACATGGGAGGGGTAGGTCATGCCTCATGAGGTTGTGGTAGACACACGGGAGGGGTAGGTCATGTCTCATGAGGTTGTGGTAGACACACGGGAGGATTAGGTCATGACTCATTGGGTTGTGGTAGACACACGGGAGGGGTAGGTCATGCCTCATGAGGTTGTGGTAGACACACAGGAGGGGTAGGTCATGCCTCATTGGGTTGTGGTAGACACACGGAAGGGGTAGGTCATGCCTCATGAGGTTTTGGAAGACACACGGGAGGGGTAGGTCATGCCTCATGGGGTTGTGCTGGACACGTGGGGTGAAATGTCATGCTTCTTGATGCTGGCGTGTTAGCTCAATGAGGAAGGAAAGTTCCAAGTGATGCAGATCTCAAACGTATACCACTTTCGTAAAACCCACGAGCACGGGCATGGACCTAGAAGGCCCCTTCTGATAAACCTAGAAGCAACACTATGTCGAATCGGGATTCGAACCCACGTTCATGTGTTTGTGGCACAGCTCTGCACATTGACTCTGCTTTTAGCAGAGATCTTTCATAGTCATTCAAAGGGGTTTGTCGCTTTTATTAAGGAACATGAATGTGAAAATCCCAGGTAGTACCACAGATGAAAAAAGTATTACAGTTCTTAATATTGCATACTATTTTGTAACCAGCTATCAAACATAATACCTGTCTCATGGCAAAAAGTGGTATAGTTCATGCTTCTTAAATCAAACCCTCCGTTCAAAGTATTCAACTGTCAGTAAGTACACCGCAGTTAAGGAGGAATAATGTAGGTGCATTAACACTAGACGCGCTCGTCCTTGAAAATGTTCATACTTAAAAAAATGAAAAAAATTCGAACCTGTGACAATCAACAAAACTGCATTTGAAATACTCCAGCGAGCAGGTATTCCCTGGGAAATCAGCTTCGGAATTCATGTCTTAAATATTCTGCTAAACCTGTCACAGCATGCATGACAATGGTGCTAGTGCATACGACAATAAACGATTGGCATACAGTGTACGTTTCAAAGGTGTAGCTTCGTGCGAAATAGACGCCCAGAGTTCTAATCGGTTTAAAATCCAGCTTTAGGCCCCATGCTTGCATTTTAAGCAGGAGTATTTCTCAGAGCTCGGGTTTTGCGTCTTGCCATGGGTCAAGGTTTGCCGATCTCAGGTTGACAGCGGATCCCTGTCTACTATTCTGTTTGATAAAAGTATATGGTTTCAGTAGAGACACATTATGTGTGTTTACATATTTCCAACCGGAGAGATCGACCTGGTATGATAACAAAGATAGAAAAAAATTGGGTAGAGATTTTGCTGTATTTTTTTATTTAGTACACTGATAGAGTACCCAGCTGTTTTTATCATTGTACTTGGATTTGTTTGTTGTTTAAGGCCGCACTCAGTAATATCCCAGCTATATGACGGCGATCTGTAAATTATTGAGTCTGAACCAGACAATCCAGTGTTTGACATCATGAGCATTGATGCGTCAACCAAGTCAGTGAGCCTGACCACCCGATCCCGTTAGTCGTCTCTTATGACAAGCACAGTCGCCTTATACGACAAGCATGAGTTGTTGAAGACCTATTCTATCCCGGATCTTCACGGGTTCATTGGACTTGGAGACATGAACAGTGGCACCGGTGTGACGCTGAACTATTTGGAGAACGATTTCACCATGTTGAAGGTAATGATGACTTTGTAGAATTTTTTGCACAATTTGAGATGGAAAGATATTCATGTGGTAAATTACTAAATAACTTTGAAAAAAATACTTTTGGAAATGTGTCAATTCTGAACATATATATTGTGAATGGAAGATTTGGAACTATCAAATCGGTCACTATGCATATATTGGACATTTTACGGTGTAGTGTGATAGATTATGTCTTAGCATCGAGTGACATGTTCCCGATATCACCGATTAAAACAAGCTGTTGGACAAAGTCAGACCCTTTGGGTAACCCTAAAGAATACAGACATACATGGAATGTTTTTCACAGCGTTTTGTCCACAGTATGGGATCCTCTTCGACAACTTATCAGAAAATTCAGCGCTGTGTTCTCTTACAGACGTGTCTGGTGCAGTCGCATTATTAACTGATGCTATTTCATCAGCCGCTTCTGTGATGAAGACACGAGTTATAACAATAGACGTTCACCGTGGTATGATGATGAATGTCTCTGTAAAAAACATGAACGGTGACATCAAGGCCGTAGTTAACTATTTTTGACAGGGTGAGGCTCGCACCAAGTGTTCGCGAAAAGGGTAATGATATCCTGCTCTACCGGTTGCACCCGCCACACACACATTTTGCATAAAAAGTAAGTGTTTGATGCATGGCGCCTCACAGCAGTCATCCTTCCATGCGACGGCGGCCTGCAAACAATCTTGTCTGGACCAGACAATCCGGTGACAGCGCACATACTGACTTGAAAAAAATAAAAACGATATGTTAATTTTGAATTAAGTCTCCTGTGAACAAGTGGCAGATATTCTGCTGCTTATAAGCAGAAAAAAAGAAACGTTCGTATTGTTAGACAGTGGGGACAGTGTCAATGTCTGGCAGTTCAATCCACTGCTGCTGATGAAGGAAAATGTTTTATCCGTGTCTACGTCTCTGTCCCTTCCCACGTCCCTCCTGATGAGTGGTTTTCCCCCTGCCCCTGCTCCTGCACCTGCCACTACTCCTGTCCCTACTCCTGTCACTGCTCCTGTCCCTGTCCCTGTCCCTATTCCTGTCACTACTCCTGTCCATGCCCCTGTCCCTATTCCTGTCACTACCCCTGTCCATGCCCCTGTCCCTGCCCCTGTCTCTGCCCCTGCTCCTGCACCTGCCACTACTCCTGTCCCTACTCCTGTCACTGCTGCTGTCCCTGTCCCTGTCCCTATTCCTGTCTCTGCCCCTGTCCCTGCCCCTGTCCATGCCCCTGTCTCTGCCCCTGTCACTACCCCTGTCCCTGTCCCTGCCCCTGTCCCTGTCCCTGTCACTACCCCTGTCACTACCCCTGTCCCTGTCCCTGTCCCTGTCCCTGTCCCTGTACCTGCTCCTGTCCCTACTCCTGTCACTGCTCCTGTCCCTGTCCCTGTCCCTATTCCTGTCTCTGCCCCTGTCCCTGCCCCTGTCCATGCCCCTGTCTCTGCCCCTGTCACTACCCCTGTCCCTGTCCCTGCCCCTGTCCCTGTCCCTGTCACTACCCCTGTTACTACCCCTGTCCCTGCCCCTGTCTCTGTCCCTACTCCTGTCACTGCTGCTGTCCCTGTCCCTGTCCCTATTCCTGTCTCTGCCCCTGTCCCTGCCCCTGTCCATGCCCCTGTCTCTGCCCCTGTCACTACCCCTGTCCCTGTCCCTGCCCCTGTCCCTGTCCCTGTCACTACCCCTGTCACTACCCCTGTCCCTGTCCCTGTCCCTGTCCCTGTCCCTGTACCTGCTCCTGTCCCTACTCCTGTCACTGCTCCTGTCCCTGTCCCTGTCCCTATTCCTGTCTCTGCCCCTGTCCCTGCCCCTGTCCATGCCCCTGTCTCTGCCCCTGTCTCTGCCCCTGTCACTACCCCTGTCCCTGCCCCTGTCCCTGTCCCTGTCACTACCCCTGTTACTACCCCTGTCCCTGTCCCTGTCCCTGTACCTGCTCCTGTCCCTACCCCTGTCACTACCCCTGTCAATACCCCTGTCAATACCCCTGTCCCTGTCCCTGTCCCTGTCCCTGTCCCTGTCCCTGCCCCTGTCACTGTCCCTGTCACTACCCCTGTCCCTGTCCCTGTCCCTGTCCCTGCTCCTGTCCCTACCCCTGTCCCTGTCCCTGTCCCTGTCCCTGTCCCTGTCCCTGTCACTACCCCTGTCACTACCCCTGTCCCTGTCCCTGCCCCTGTCCCTGTCACTACCCCTGTCACTACCCCTGCCCCTGTCCCTGTCCCTGCCCCTGCCAATGTCACTACCCCTGTCCCTGTCCCTGCCCCTGTCACTACCCCTGTCCCTGCCCCCGACCCTGTCACTACCCCTGTCCCTGTCCCTGTCCCTGTCCCTGCCCCTGTCCCTGTCCCTGTCACTACCCCTGTCACTACCCCTGTCCCTGTCCCTGTCCCTGTCCCTGCCCCTGTCCCTGCCCCTGTCCCTGTCACTACCCCTGTCACTACCCCTGCCCCTGTCCCTGTCCCTGCCCCTGCTTGGCCCTCCCTAATTTCCCAAACACCCAGGGCTTGGCCCTCCCTAATTTCCCGAACTCCCAGGGCTTGGCCCTCCCTAATTTCCCGAACTCCCAGGGCTTGGCCCTCCCTAATTTCCCAAACTCCCAGGGCTTCGCTCGACCTAATTTCCCGAACTCCCAGGGCTTGGCCCTCCCTAATTTCCCAAACTCCCAGGGCTTCGCTCGACCTAATTTTCGAACTCCCAGGGCTTCGCCCGACCTAATTTCCCGAACTCCCAGGGCTTACATTTCCCGTCAAGACCGAGAAAGAGGTTTTGATCTGACTTATAAACTTAGAACCGTATTAACGAATATCAATGATTCTCATATGACTGGTGTGTTTAGCTTTCATGAACGCTGTTAACGCGGCGGTAATCAATCGCTCAAACGCAACGTACGTGCATTTGCTGCACGAGCAGGTTATATCTCGGTCAAGTACACGTGGTTTCATTCACTTGTGTTGAAAGATGGCCGAGGAAGGGGAAGATTTTTTTATCACACAGTCCACATTTATCAATGAAATTTCCGAAAGTATTGCTCGTGATGCTGATAAAGATGATGTAGACGATTTTGCGTTTCGCTTTGGAGAGCCATTGTGTGAGCGGGAGATAGAAGAAAAAAGATTATACCGTGGTGAAGTTGATGAGCAAATGATCTGCAAAGTAACTGGTAGGTATAAAAAAAAATTTAAAAAATATTAAGTAGAAAACACATTTCTCGGACATTTTTCGGAGAAATCATTCTACATGGTATTTTATTATTTCGGATACTTGAAATTGCACGAAATGATCATTGGAACAATGCAGAAAGCCGTAAAATCAATTTGTTTTATCAACTGTTCGTAAGGTATCACAATGGTGATGCAGACTTTTCACCTGCTATAAATCGGGTGACCCTGATGACTGAAGATTTGCTGAAAACCGTTTAAATAAATCTGATAACCGCGATATGACAAAATGTTGTATGTTTTGAAATGTTCATAGTATTTTCGAAAAACCTCTTATCTATATACTCTAGCAAGCGGGTCAGATGAATATGTGTTATGTCACTGTTTGAACATATGTTTCAGGGCATAGAAGTGATGCCGTACGGACGTATAAACGTACTTCAGACGAGCAAAGGAGGACCCTGTCGGACATCATTGCCAAAAAGAGGAAGCAGGAAGTTATCTCTGAGCCGACGCCGATTGTAACTGAAACGTCTAAGCCCGAGACTTCCCCCGAAAAAGATGAAATGGACACTGGTCGTCGTTTTGTACTCAATTTCACTTTTCATTAAACCTACTTCATAAGTGTTGCTTTCATTAATTTGCACTTTGAGGCTTTTGGGAAACGAGGTTTGTCCCTAGGTCCATCTGCGCAACGCGATTTTTAGTGCTAAAACTATTTTAAACTATTTAACTTGGGAAACTCAAACATTAGCACTAAAATCGCTCAGCGCATTTAAAGCCAGATCTTGCCAGCGGAATGCCCGGGTCTTACCAGGAGAATGCCCAGGGCATTCTGCCGGTAAGGCCCGGGCATTCTGCCGGTAAGACTTGTGGGAACGTTAGTGGAGTTTACCTCCGCAAAGAGACTGTCTGAAAAATGGAGTGGAGTCATCAAAGGTTTATAAGTGGCTGCTTAAAACTACACCTGACGCTATTGCCACCCTGGCGGGTATCGTATTGCAGATCAGATGGATTTTTTAGGTGAGATTGTCCTTCAGTGACACCCACTCCCAGGGAACGCAGGATGCTCCCGGGGAATGTAGTGAGTATTATACATATCATTGCAAAGGACCGCACTGCTGTGCAAGTTGTGACAAGCTGAGCATGATTTTTTCACCTGTGTGTGCTCAGCTTGAACATGTTTTAATTCCCGAGGAACACAGTCATTCGTTGCATTTGTTTGAGTTGTATTACAGGCCAAAGTCCAACGGTGAGACACAGATAACAAAACAATGTTTTCCTTAACCGAATATATGTAATATGTTATTAGCAAGTAAGCAGAGACAGAAGAAAGGGTTTCTCAGTTGCGTGGATCGATGTTCATGATGTCAATCCCTGGATTGTCTGGTCCAGACTCGATTATGCACAGACCGCCGTTATATCGCTGTAATATTGTGCGGCGTTAAACAACAAACAAACAAAACAAGTATAATAGAGGGATTTATTGTACAAACGGGCTATCATGGTCAATGAAGGGATACCCAGTATACCCCGCCACTGACCAAAATGCAAACAGGGTCAATTGTGAGGTTCCCTGCAAGTGACGTCACTGCAAACGCGATGACGTCATCATGTCCGTAAAGTCAGACCATCCGCCTTACATGTATGTTTCTACACGCCTAGCCAGTCCAGGTAGTATGACGCGTTATGATCACTACTCTTCCATAAAGGAACGAGTTATTTCGAGTGTAATTGGACATGTGTCTCGGCTGGTTGAAACTTATGCCAGCAGGAGTGCTTGAAAATCTTATGCTAGTCTGTCTACTTCAACGATTCTGTCAGACTTGTGTCAGTTATTTCATAACTCCTGAGGCAATAATTATGACTGAATAGATGTTCGTGAATATGTTATTCATGTGTCAGTAAAGAACTCGGAGACCACTAATTTTAGATCGTTATAACCGTAGTTCGTTATAAGAATATACACAGCATATATACAGCAAATCGACCGGACCAATAAACAGTTCGTTATAACCGTCAGTTCGTTATAAGAGTGTTCGTATAAACGTAGTGTATAATTGTCTTGCCTTTGCATGTGTTTGTAACGTATACCAGCGGTAGCTATTCTCATTTTTCGGCGAAGCCCATGTACCATCACTATTTGATAGTGATTCGTGGACAAAGTGACTCTGCTTTTAGCACACATCTCTTATAATTATGGAACGTGTTTAATCGATTTTATTTAAGAGTCACAGTGACTGAATCAAAACCGACCTCTGAATAAGTATGAACGGAACGATTTACATGATTCAGTATTCAGTATTAAGCATTCAATTGTGACGTCACTGGGGAACGAAAATCCTATAGACTGTTGGACCGCCTCCGTGGTCTATTTGATAGGGCGTCTGCCCGGAGAGCGGAAGATCTGTGGTTCGATCCCTGGCTGCGTCCCACCAAAATGCGTTAATATGTGGTAATTGTTGTTGCCCTGCCTGGAGCTCGGCGTTAAGGAGCTAAAGCCGACTCCTCGACTCGGAGTCAGTATACTGTGCCTTAGTGGGGTATTTATATTAAAATTGCGGCCTGGTATCTCAGTGGGTTAGCGCTATAAAATCGGTATTAGTCCGGGTTACTATACTGAACCGCAAAAAGAAACGTCACTCCATGTAGCATGAAAAGTTGTCATTTAAATATCTGGGTAATTAGTGTCAAAGTTTCTAAACTTTAACATTACCTTGTCCGGAAAAAAATGATGATAAAAAAACAAAGCAAATGACAATAGAACCGATCGCCCCAACGGCCATGGTCACCCGATGCACGTGAGTTCCATGCAAGTTGAAATGCACATGCGTTCTTCACCGACCGCCTTATCCATTCCATGTATCGACGTTTGACGGCAGTCATCAATGCACATCGCGGACACACGAGATACTGATTTGTGATGCCATTTTCTCACAGGCTAGCGTTGTGTTTCACTTTGAGAACATTTGACACTTTAATTTCAACCTTGATGATCAGTTTTGCAAAGTTTCATCTATTTAATATGTCTCAAAGTATGATTACAGTGTTTGGACAAATAAGGTTTCTCATATATCTATCAATGGTGACGTTTCTTTTTCTTTAAGCAGTCTCTCGATTCGGGTTCGATTCTCCACATGGGTACATCGCGTGGAGTCCATTTCTGGTGTCACCCCCGTCATATTGCTAGAATATTGCTAAAAGCGGCGCAAAACCATACTCACTCACTCTGATGCTGCGTCTAAGGACGTCTGAGTCGAATTTGTGTTTTAATACACGATCTGAAGGAAATAACTGACGTTGACTACCAACCCAAACCACCCAGGCTTCTGTCGAGAATATCAATATGCTGTTTCTATGTGATGCGGTATGTAACTTAAATTAATACATCATGATTCAATCAATGATCCAAAATGATATAAGGTTTTATAGGAATGCAATACTCTCGTGTCTTTTTCATATTAATGGTATAAACATATCATAAAATAATCTCAACAATCTAGCCAGTCCAGGTATTATGACGCGTTATGATCACTACTCTCACATAAAAGAACGAGTTATTTCGAATGTAATTGGACATGTGTCTCGACTGGTTGAAACTTATGAAACGTTGACTACCAACGTTGACTACCTATAAACATATCATAACATAATCTAAACAATGTTAACACTCGTCGATATGGAAACGAGCATTCTTGCAACTTAACAGTGCAAAGGTCACCAGGCTTCTCCGCCGCCCTCATATAGCTGGAAATTACTGAGTGCGGCGTTAAGCAACAAACAAACAAACCAACCGAGCTCCTAGCCCCCCGATTATCCAGTAACCTTGTAAGACACGCTATGTTTGCCGGGGACCAATTCTAATCTGAAAAATATCAACGGCAGTTGGGCCGTACAGAAGCTGCATTGCAATGTAATTGGCCAATCATCTTCCATACATAAACAACTGCTCATCCAAGACAAACTGCACGACAGTCTGCATAGTGGGATCGCTAGAGCTGCATTGGTGCTAAGTAAGTACACACTTCTGTCTAGATATAGGCTTTCGGCATGAAACTAACTTATTGTTAAATGTTTTGTTTTGTTTTTGTTTTGTTTTGTTTTTTGTTTGTTGTTGTGTTGTTGTTTTTTGTTGTTGTTTTTTGTGTTTTTTTGGTGTTTGTGTGTGTGAGTGTGTGTGTGTGTGTGTGTGTGTGGGGGGGGGGGGGGGGGGGGGGGGGCAAGGATTTATATATGTGTTCAGCTACAGTTATAAAACTACGTAGAATTTTATTTCAAACAGTGAGCCTCAATTTTCTTAAAGATATACACCCTGCAACAATATTTTTTTCGGGTGCAATTTATTTTTGGTTATAATATTCCACCCAAAGAAACCAGATCGAAATATTTGATCATCCTTTGCCGTATGGGCAAGCACCAATGTCAAGAATGCTATGAGAGAACTTTTTTCACAATTTTCCAAACTTGTCTTCCTGTTAGTAGCTACCCCCAGTAAATTACACCTAATAGCGTATTTCAGATACATTTCTTTTGATTTTCTTTTGAAAACTTGGGGCACGGGTAGCCCAGACGTCTGAGGTTCACCAATTTGTTGTGCAGTGTTGCGTCCATTGGGCTCGCAAGTACCCTAAGACCTTGGGTTTGAATCCCGGTTCGCCCCGATTGTTTCTGTCGGTCAGCACCAAACCCATGCTCGTGGGTCCCGTTTCAAACCAGCATCACTTCGGGTTCTCCTCCCGCATTTACTGGGATACTGTTAAACCCAACGTAAACAAACAGCGCTCCATCTAGCTGCCGAGTTGGGTCTTGACAACATGTTTAAACACATCCTTGATATGGAAGATGCATACAAGTTCTTGTTTTTGATATCTACGAGTGTGATTACGAGTAACAGAGATTGATAAGGTAACCTGGGGTAAGGCTGATCTGCAGATGTCACCTGACTACAGGAATACAGACCACAGAGCCGAGGGGCTGGCAAAAGGCAAAGAGGATTCAGGAATAGAAACCTATTGGAAGAGCTTGAGACAATATACGAACCAGAGTATTTTGGAAATCATATGCAGTTTGAAGACAACGACGGCTTATGCGTTTCTGAACGACTACACGGTCCAAGAAGTGGTGTACTTAAAGTGGCAGAAGTACTGGCAGTACTACTACATTGGCCTCTTTCTTCACCTGTCACTGATGAGTATCCTCACCTGGCATTTAGATCTCAAAGTTGATGCCATCCTGGATCCTGACCCGGCGCAGAAGCAGACCTTGAACCTCAGGGTTTTGAACATCATCTTTATCGTCATAAGTCTCCTTTATGTAATTCTAGAAATTCACAGGACATTCTTTTCGTGGCAACCATTCCATATAACAAGACTGCATCACAATGGAGTATACAGGTGCATATTTGTGCTGTTTGGTTTGGCATTACTGACGGACGCGTCGTGGAATGTTGTAACTGTTACAAACAACTACTGTCTGGTGATAGCATTGATCCTTGGTTGGTGGTCTTCCTCCGTGGAATCTCACCTTTCAGCTACGTTACTTTTATGTTACAGAAAGTCCTCTTTGGGGATATGCTGAAATTTATACCAATCATTTTCATAATGATGATAGCATTTACAAGTGCAATGCACAGTGCCTTTGCGGA